CTCTCTCTCTCTCTCTCTCTCTCTCTCTCTCTCTCTCTCTCTCTCTCTCTCTCTCTCGCTGTGTGTGTGTGTGTGCGTACGTATGTATGTGTCTGTGCTTGTGCGTTTCGCCCCGCGTCGCAATTAAGATCAGATCATCCCTCCGACGACAACGGAAAATAACCCAAGTCCACCTCTTACTACCACTCGTGCACACTAGTGCGACTGTGTCAACTCCACCATCTCCTCAGAGTAATGGATTGTCGCACGAGCGCGCTGCGAGTTGATATCGAATGCCACGTGTCACTTGCTGGCAATCGTCATCACCTTGTCATTAGTCGAAGGGGCGTCGGCGCGCAGACACGCAGGCGCGGGAGGTAGATGATCCTCCTGCTCCAGACCCAATTCCCACCAACCGCGAAAGCAAAATAGAAACTAAATTATTGCGCTCCTCAGACGACAACGAATACCGAAGCCGCCGCCCTCATTTGCCAAGTACAAAACAAAAATTCCAAAAAAAAAATTTTGCATTCAATGTATCAGAATAAAAAAAAATCCGCATACTCTCCTATCACATCCATCCCGTTCGTAAGTAAGCTCTCAAGAAACACATACAATGTAATTAGTCCATAACGTTTCATCACCCGCTATTGTCAAGTCATTTTGACGCCAAGGATGCCCCCGCGTAGACATCACAAGAGACAGATTATCTTGTTTTCCCCGCCTTTTCTGTACAAATAGAGCACTGGGTTCCCCCCCCCGCTCTGGGAATCCTCTCCCCCCCCCGGCTCGAAATTCCACCCCGTTTCCTCTCTTTATTCCCTCTCCTCCGTTGTACTCCCTCCTCTATCCCCCCACGCCCCACCCTTATCCCCCTCCCTTTAGTCACTTCTCGACTCTCCCACACTCTAATAACCACCACCTTCTCCACCTATCCCGACAACAATGAGTCTGATGCTGCTAATCATCTAATCAGTGATCAATGGCAATCGTAGCTGCCGATGCTCTACTAGGCAAAAGTAGTCCAGATACTCACTAGTAAGACACCTCCCCTCCTCTCTCTTGACTATTCTTTCCAATCCCCTCTCTCCCTCCCTCCCCTCGCGCCTTTTGCGCCTATGCTTCGCCGTTTCCTTTACTTACATCGTCCTGAGGTCTTTCAAGTAGCTTCTGCTTTGCGCATATCCAATCCCATCCCCTCCCACACTCCCCGCCCCGCCGATCCTTACCTCTCGACTTTGGGCAGAGGTTCCACACGCAGCAACCGGTTGTTTTTCACCTCCTCTTACTCATCACCGAAACCACCTCCTCTTCGTTCAAAACCCCGGTTCGCCCATGAATAACCACCCAACGGGAGGATCAATTACGCGGAAATGACACAAATTTCTTCCCGCGGAAATGGTTACCGTCTCTTTTCGCGGGAACAATTCCTGTCTTTTTTGGCGGGGAAGATTCCGTGGTGTCTTTCAACACTGCGCTCGTCACGCCATAGCCGAAGCTCAGTAAACTGCGCCCGATTGACTCGTTTGCACCTCTACTACTCCCTCCCTGCCTCCCTCCACCCTTTCACCTCCCCCTCTCTCCTTTCGCCTTCTCCTCCTTTCAACTGCGAAAAACGGAAAACCCCACTTCAGCGCCTTCTCCTCCAGCAGCGCCTTCTCCTCCTCCTTCCCCCCCCCCCCCTTTTTGTCCCCCTTTAACTGCGGAAAAAAACTGAGTTCAAAACCAACTTCAACCCCTTTACTGCCTTCAGTGATTGATCACTTCACGGACAAATCCTTCCTTAGCCATTCAGCAAACCGCCAACTCTTCGCCGCTCAGCTGTGCTTACCTCCTCCTCCCCCAGGCTCTCCCTCCTCATTCTCTCGCTGTCAAAACTCCACCACTCTCACCTAAACGGATCCTCACGTACTTCCCCCCTCTGATGAGAGACTTCTACTCTTATACCCGTCTCAGGCTTTTGCTTACTGCTCGCCTACCTGATCAAAATTGATTACCAGTCCCCTAACTGTTCAGTGAGCCCCCCCAACCAACTTCCCCCGCCCCCTCTACTCCTCCCCCGCCCCCACCTTACTCTTTTGCTTTGCTTCTTGCCTCCCCACCCCCTCAACCTCTCTGTCGATAACGAACCCTCCCTCTCCCACTGGTCTCCCACCTTCCCTACAGTATTTTTTTGAACGCTACCGCGAACGCTTATACCACTCCTCCTACCCTGGGGACCCGTCCAGTCTCAGGGGACTGACTCTCTTCACTCTGCGCTACTTCGGCGAACTCCTCTGTCGGTCCACGGTGATGATGAAAAGGATACCACAGCAAAAGGAATAGATCATCACTTCCTCATCTTGGTCCTTCTTCGCCCTGTTGGCCCGACGGTTTCCGCCCGATGCCCTCTCTGATACTGCAGACGACGACCTGGCCGCCTCACCAAGAGCTCTTCTCCGGCTGCTGTCTCACTTAGCGCCAATCTCGGTTTCCCGGGGGAACTAGAAACAACCCAGAAGCCCAGACCAGTAGCCTTCGTCCATTTCCAGGACAGAACTCTCGCAATCCCCACCACCAATCTGCCGATCAATGAGCCAGCACAAGCAGTTACTCGGTCAACACCTCACCCTACTAACTCCCCTCGACTCCTCCTCCCTTCAAATCGTCATCTCCCGTCTCCCGCCCACCATTCTTCTTCCCATTCGTGCTCCCCAAACAGGTTAGGGTAAGATTCGATCTCGGTCAAGACCAGCCTAACGACCACCTAAACCGCAGTGTAAACCCTAACCTGCGACGTCTCGCCAGTTGTGCCACGTGGCGCCACGTGCAGTGCCGCTGCGGCGTAACTAAGCTTTCCAATCAATCTTCACGATCACAGACGAACTCATTCGTCAATCTTCACAGTAGAGACCCTCCGCAAACGATCAGAGTAGGGCAGCGTAGTACGAACCTCTCTCTCTCTCTCTCTCTCTCTCTCTCTCTCTCTCTCTCTCTCTCTCTCTCTCTCTCTCTCTCTCTCTCTCTCTTCCCAACCTCGCTATATCTGTGCTCCCTCCACTCTTGTCGCCCCCTCCTCCACGGCTATCCCAACCTCACCCTTCTTTCTTTCCTGCTACTTCACCGCCTCGCCAGAGCACGCACTTGCCCGCTTCCTCTCTTCCGTCACACTCTTCAGTGTCTTCACCACTGCTGTGGCCAATACCATAGCCGCGCCCACTCCCCACTCCTCGCTCCTCGTCGTGGTTCCCTCCGACGTCCCGGGACGTTCGTCGGTTGACGTGATAGTTACTGTAGTACGGGTAATTACGCCTCGCGCGCGGCGGGGGCAATTACGCACAATTTCCTTCTCCTTCGTCCCATAAGGAGGAGGGGTATGCAGTGGGTAATCCGTACGTGGACGTGCACGTACGTACGGACGGACGGACCAAGAAACAACTTACTTGCGCGCCACCGCGCCGAACCGGACCAAAGCCACCCGAACCGGGCCGAGCCTACGGTTTGTCCCCCGACCGAAGAGCAATCCGCCCTTACTTACTCATTACGGCTGCACCAAACCGAAAAGATGGATTGTATGCATTCAGAATGCTGCCGCATTTTCCGGCGGAAGACGGTAGCCGAGCCGAGCCCAGACGAACTAAGAGCCCGAGTCGGAGCCCGAGCCGGAGCCCGAGCCGAGTCGGGTCGAGTGGGCTCCGGGTTCCGCGTGTCGGTCGGGACGAGTCGCCGCCGCGGATGAGCTCGCGGGTGGTCCCCTCCGTGGGACGGAGGTGCGCGCGGTCGAGCGGGAGCGGCCGACCTCGCAGCAGGAGAACCCGCCGCAGCCGCGGCACTTTGGACCTTCCGCTCCTTACCGCGAAGTCCCCCCCCACCCGTCTGGTCTGTGGCGGTTATGCGCTTCCATGCGCGTGGACGTGCGCCCGACATAACTGCTGACGGCGCAGAATCCGAACGAACGGCGATCTTGCCTCCGCCCTGCGCGAGGCTAAAGAGCGGAACTACCCACTCATGTGGCTGAACGGTGCACACATGTACACGTAATTACTCGTTAATTAATGAACAGATCATGTGCTCGAATCTCCAGCTTATTGCTTCTTCCTGCTCCGAATCTCAAATGGAACTCGCTGGAATGTTGATCACCGAACTCCAAGAGCGTCACGCGTGTTCCTCGAAGACGCGCGAAATCACTAGAAGCGAACAAAACAAAACAAAAAAAAAGCCGCGAATAGATCTTTCGCAAAGGCTTGGAGGCTTGGAGGCTTGGAGGCCTGCATACCTGCCTGGTAGCCGAATACTGTACACGTACACATGATGCGATATCCCGGAGGGGCAAAGTTCCTTCCCGAAGGAAAAAGAAGGCACTGAACGCGTTCAGACCGCTTTGTACCGCGTCGGACCCCCATAAACAAAACCGGCAAAGCGTTGAACGCTTGGCCCCTGAAAAGACAAGCCTCTGGACTCCAAAATCGGGTCAGCCTTGTCTGGTGTTGATCGGCCCGCCCTACTCTAGAGCGAACTCAGTTTCTGGACGCGGTGCATCAAGCGGGTCCACCCATGGTCTGGTCCGCCTGCCCGCGGGTAGTAGCTGTCCGATGACGGGGAATCGAATCTTCTATGAGGCTGGTGTAGTCACTGTAGTGTAGTGATGCCAGCCTCCATGATGCTTCTATTTCACCGTGACAAAGAGGGTGTGAGGTGCGGATGCCGCACGCCTTGGTAGAAGACGGGCACGTGTTCTCCGGGCGGAGGTAAATCTGGTGCTACTTGTTCGCAGCCCGTCAGGGATGCGCTTTCCCCCCCTGAGACATTTCAACGTTCAACGTCAAATTTCAACGTCGTGGTCGTCGGGAGGGTGGTCATTTTTTGGTTTCGGGGCCTAGCAAGGGGTGCAGAGGCGTAAGACCGCTGTTGAGGTGGTCGTTGGGCTTTTGGGAGGCGGTAGTAGCGGAAACGTCGTCGTTGGCGGTAGTTGGCGAAACGACGTTTTGGTCCTTGGACCTTGGGCACGTAAAATTTTGGCGGTCGAAACGGCCCTTGTGCATTGCTGACGTTCTGGGTCTTGGACCTGTTGACGTCGCGGAAACGGCACGTTCGCGCAAACGTCGCCCTTCGCCCTTGCAACGTTCGCACAAACGGCAGCCAGGCGTTGTTGCATGGTGAGTTGATCTCTCTCTCTCTCTCTCTCTCTCTCTCTCTCTCTCTCTCTCTCTCTCTCTCTCTCTCTCTCTCTCTCTCTCTCTCTCTCTCTCCCTTGTACGATGATGATGTACGTTCAGACTGCATTGCAACATTGATTGTTCAGATCATTGGTATCTCTGTCTTCCGCTACGCTGTACGTACACACACACACACACACAAACACAGACACACATACACACATGCAAAATTTTGGCGGATGGTGAGTGGTGCAACTACTACTCCGTAGGCCCAAAGGCCGTCTCTGCCGGCCGTAGAAGGGCATCGCCACACCACTCTGAAGATGTGAAAAAGACAAAAATGTGGCGGATGCATTTGGCCATGTTCTAGCGCGAAGTTCATTCTCATTTTGCACATTTCAAGAGTGGTGTGGCGATGCCCGAAGTCGCAGCTCGATACTACCACCAAACCAATTTCTTCTGCTGTGTTTGCCTCGTCGGCTTAGATTTGTTAGCGGCCATGGTGATTGATCACCATCTTACTGGGTAATCAATCTCCTTCGCTACACATTTTGATTGCCTTCTACTCTCCTCTCGTGCCAGCCTCTTCCTCTCCTTCGTCTTCCACCCCATCGTACCCTCTCTGGGCCTCGCCGCGCTACTGAGCAAATGTACAAATGGTGAATGAATCTTCCACTAGAACTTGGACAGGTACGCCTGGCACATCTTTTTCTTTGTCACAGGTGGTGAGTAGTGCGGCGAGATCCTTAGAGTTCCCTTCGTGCCTTTCCTCCTTTCTTCTCCCCTTCTTCTTCTCCTCTTCTTCCTCTTCTTCCCCTCTCCATCGGTTGGGGCTGTGGAGCTTTCCCATGCAGCAGCGGTGGCCTGGTCCAGCAGTCTCTCAGCGTTGTCCAGTTGTCTAATCATCGCGTTGTTCCCTTCCGCGAAGCATTTCAAAGGGGTACCGTCTTCATCCGAATAGAACGCTCGGTCATTCTGCCCGTATTTGGGCCCATTTGCAGTCTAGATACTGCGATTATGACCGGGCGTTCTATGTGGATGAAGAGGGTAGTTATCCTTCAGTCCTAGCTGAATGAGGTCTCAAGGCTAGCGGATGTAAAGGCGGGAAGAGTTCCTTCTTCACCCACTGTCCTGCTGYTGTTTCTTCTCTTCCRYGACYTGTSCTCTTCCCCGCTCCTCTTCCCCTCACTCCTAGTCTTCCCCTCCCTCCTAGTCTTCCCCTTGTCATGCAAAGAACCTCACTGAGGTTATGATTAGTTCCTCCGCCGCCATTTTCAATGGACATGCAAGCAAGAACCTGTACCACATCCTCGTCATCATTCGTGATTAGTCGGAAATATTCATCCCCACAAAATTAGACCGTCGTATATTACACATGTTCGTGTTCACTGGTAGGTACCTCGACACAGGTCGACAGTCATCATCATCGTCGCCGTTTCCGTTTGTAACCTACGTCTCCCATTGACGACAAACTCAACCACCTCGTCTCATTATAATACCTCATTGACACCATTCAAACTGTCTCTCTTTATCCCCTCGAACAGGCCTCATTCGATCATTTTATAATTTAAGCAGTGACTCGTTAAAAAAAAAAAAAAAAAAAAAAAAAAAAAAAACATCCTCGTATCGCAA